GTTCAAAGGTATTTACCTATATTTCCCTAATAAAACTGAAATGAACTGAACTAATGACTCGCAAGCTAAACGTCCTCCGAAAACATGACCTTACATCCGTCTTGTTCCCAAAATGTGCCATTAACATAAAGGTTTATCCGAATTTTGAAAAACTGCACTATCCAGGTTCACCCGGTGCGATTTATAATCGTCGATGTTAGTGTGTTGTTTCTGACCGACCAACCCTGTGCTGATCCAGTTCAGCAGTTTCCCCTGACGTCGATAGTGTTAGGATATTAGCCAGACCAAACGCTAGCAACGTTTGGAGGCTTTCCTAAGGCGTCGAAACTAGCTAAATGTCTTTGTTGGTTAGCTCTGACTGCATAACAGGCGATTACTGTCCGCGCGAGATGCACGTACACGAGCCTACGCAAGGCACAACTGTTCGCTGTTTTCCTGAGGGTCAACTGGTCGCGTGACGTTATCCCAATGCGGCCACCCAGGCCACAAGAGAACGCGCAGACAATCTCATATAAGCTACTGTCACCCCCTGACAGGGAGAGTTGCAGCCACACCGAACAGCGGACGCCAGTCCGCTCCTAATGCCGGGCTCGCTCAAAGGCGGAAAAAAAAACGCGCTCGAGATCACCAGCGGCAACAGTCACCCGAGACAGCTTCTCCGGCTTTTGTACAAAATAAAACTCTCCTCCGGGTGGATTCCAGAATTATGCTCTTCTTATTGTATTCTTCCTTGGGGATTTCAACAGGGCGTAATCCGACGGTGACACACGTCCGATGTCACCATTTTAACACAGTAGCGACGCAGAACTCGTCGATATAGCAGATAGCGCAGGCTAACAAAGTACCACAGGTACCTCGAGACCTCTTCTAAAGCACTCGTCAAGACTTCAAGAGCAGTGAGCCATTTTGAAGACCAAGAGCGCACTCACCGAAAGCCTTGCTGCGCATTGTGTAACACATCATCTTCACTATAAAATCTTAATGTTTTACGCGTTACAAATACTTATATTGCCTTGCAGGAAAGGAAATTCACGCTTATTGACCTAAAGCTGTTTCCTTGCATCTAGGCCGTCTACACTGCGAAGCCAAGTTCCCTGTTCTCGTTGCCAGCAGGAACCCACATGACCGAGTCAAGGATAACTCGGCCAAAAGTTCCTTAAGTATCAGCTAAAGCATCCTATCCGGTTCGGGGGACTTGTATGGCTTGATGTGGCTGCAGACCTATCTTAAGTCTGCAAAGGAAAAGGTTACAGTTTCAATAAAGATCGTACCTTCACCCGTTAAACATTCCAGACTTTTAACGGTGGATTTCACCGAAAAAGCAGATATATAATATTTGGACATTAGCTATAATTTCTGTAGCCCTTTCGTTATTGTTCTCCCGAAGCCATCACCTAGAAGTACCATTCTGCCCCGGTGCTTCCTTCGACTACAAACGTACTCATAAATCCTCCAAATAAACATTACGGCTTCTGTAGTCATTCGACGCTTAAATACATTTATATCTATTCTTATTAGTTTAGGTACTTCATATCGCTCAACTTCGTAAATGATGTTGGATCTGGAAGATTCCAAACTTCTTCCGTTCACTCTGTTTCCTCGTTATGATACTTCTTATTATCGGATTGACCCCTGCCGGTCGGAAACATGGTCTTATTATATTTTGTTTGGCAATGTTCTTGCATTGGATGCTCTATGATCCCATGGAAATACTAGCAGTATGAATTGAGGCAAAGTTTAGCATCCCAGGTGTATAGATTGAGAAGAAGCCGTTTCGATCACCGGAATCATAGTTTTATTAGTCTGAGCTTTCAAAATCTTGTGGAAGTCCATCGTCAGAGATAACATTAGCAACGAAAGCAAGCAACATTTATAGGGGAAAGGGGCCAATTAACCACCATATGGGGCGGGGAGGGGAGGGAGAGGAACCATAAGCTACCAGTGCCGTGAGCCTGGAGATACCTGCACATGACAACATATGCGGGTGCCAGCTTGATGCGTCGGTTAACTGAGTTGTCACCTGACGCCCAGCCTTCAATCAGTTCTCGGCCCGTCTTGCTGCCACCGTGGGCAGTTATTCCCGCAGCTGCGAAGTTGAACTCGAGACCCGTCTCGTAATTGTGGGCCGCAGCTTGCGATAA